ATGGTACATACGACTCCATGAGTGAAGGAGAAATGGAAGCCCTTGAGCAAGTGGCCATGCACCGGAAAGTGAACGAGGATGAAGATAATCAAGTCTTTTGTGATGAATATCCGAGCCCCGCTCTCGTTGTCTCCAAGGTCTTGACTCTTCAACATCAACAAGATGAAGACCAAAGATACCATATCTTCCACACCAAGGCCGGCATCAATGGAAGGTCCGTCAAGGTCATCATCGATGGAGGGACTTGTCATAACTTAGCAAGTGAAAAACTTTGCTCCAATCTCCAATTGGTCAAGATGAAGCACCCGCATCCCTACGAAGTTCAATGGCTAAGCGACTCCGGCCCTATCCAAGTCGAGCATATGGTACAAGTTCCCTTCAAGATCGGAGCTTACGAAGACACTTTGGAGTGTGATGTCGTTTTGATGTCCGTTTACCACCTACTTCTTGGAAGACCATGGCAATTTGACCGAGGTGTCATCCATAATGGGTGAACGAATCTCTATAGCTTCAAGATGAAAGGAAAGGAATATGTGTAACGACCAATGTCTCCAAGCCAAGTGATCGCCAACAAGCAAGCCATCCATCATTGAGAAAATACTGAGAGAGCGAACCACCAATAAGAGACTGAGCGCCACAAGCCCAAATTGAGTGCCTCCACGATGAGCCACAAGAAAAACCTAGTCCTATTTGCCACCAAAAGTGAGATGAGAGAAGTGTGCGAGAACCAATCAAGTGTCATGCACCATGTCCTTTTGTGCAAGGACGAGGGATCAAAAACTAACACCTCTCACAATCTAAGTGTTATCTTCTCTTTTGCCGGAATTCCAAGACGTGTTCCCCGACGAGCTACCTCCGAGTCTACCCCCACTATGATGCATCAAACACCGAATCGACCTCATCCCCAGAGCACCCCTTCCTAACAATGCTTCCTACCATGTCAACCCCGAGGAAACTAAGGAGATCCAACGGCAAGTACAACAACTCATTGACAACGGCCATGTACGAGAAAGCTTGAGCCCTTGTGCCGTACCGGTAATCCTTGTTCCTAAGGAAGATGGTACATATTGCATGTGTTCCGATTGTCGTCCTATCAATGCTATTACCGTGCGTTATCGTTACCCTATTCCATGCCTAGATGATATGCTTGATGAGCTTAGCGGAGCCACCATTTACTCTAACATTGACCTTAAAAGTGGCTATTATCAAATGCGCATCCAAGAAGGTGATGAATGGAAAACCGCATTTAAGACAAAATTTGGCTTATATGAATGGCTTGTTATGCCAATGGGTTCATCCGAAGCACCCGATACTTTCATGCGAGTCATGCATTTTGTCCTTCGACCCTATATTGGTGTATTTGTTGTGCTCTACTTTGACGATATTCTTGTTTTTAGCAAATCTCTTGAAGATCATGTCACCCATCTTAGAACCGTGTTGCAAAATCTTAGGAAAGATCGCCTTTATGCTAATATGGACAAATGCCTTTTTGGTGTTGATAAGCTTGTTTTCTTGGGTTTTGTTGTGTCTTCTAAAGGTGTTCATGTAGATGAAACTAAGATCAATGCTATTAAAACTTGGCCCCAACCAACCAACTTGCAACAAGTGCGAAGTTTTCTTGGTTTAGCCGGTTTCTATCGTATATTCGTTAAGGATTTTAGCACCATTGCTTCACCTTTGCATGCTTTGAGTAAGAAGAATGCGCCATTTGTTTGGGGACCATCCCAAGATACCGCATTCAATGAGCTTACGAATTTGCTTACACATGCTCCTTTTCTTGCTTTACCCAACTTCGATAAACCATTTGAGATTCATTGCGATGCTAGCGGTTATGGCGTAGGAGGTGTGTTAATGCAAGAGAAGCGCCCTCATGAGTGAAAACTTTCCGGAGCGCAACTCAATTATACCATCTATGAAAAAGAGCTATATGCTTTAGTGATAGTCTTGCATGTTTGGGAGCATTATCTCCGTCCTCATGAGTTCATTCTTCACGCCGATTATGAAACACTTAAGTATCTTAAGGGTCAAACTAAGTTGAACAAGCGTCATGCTAAATGGAGTGAATTCATTGAGTCATTTCCTTATGTCATCAAGTATATTAAATGTAAGGAAAATATTGTGGCGGATGCTCTTTCCTGTAGATGCATGCTTGTTACCCAACTTGAATAGAATGCCATAGGCTTTGAGCACATAAAAGACTTGTATGCGCATGATCCTACTTTTTCCACTCCTTATGCTAAATGTTTGACGCATACGATTTGGGAACGCTATTACATCAAAGATCATTATCTTATGAAGCTAGCAAACTTTGCATCCCTAAGTCTTCTCTTCGTTTGTTACTTTTGCAAGAATCTCAGGGAGGAGGACTAATGGGACACTTTGGACGCGACAAGACATTTGCTACGCTCTCCAAGAACTATGTTTGGCCCAAGATGTTCCACAACGTCTAATGCTTCACCAATGGATGTTCTACATGTCGCAAAGCTATGTCTAAATCTCAATCTCATGGCCTTTATATGCCCCTTCCAATTTCGTATCACCCATGGGAGGATATTAGCATGGATTTTGTGCTTGGTTTACCTAGAACTAGAAATGGAAAGGATTTAGTGTTTGTTGTTGTGGACCTATTCTCTAAAATGGCACATTTCATACCATGCAACAAGATAGACGATGCTTCGCCTATTGCAAATCTTTTTTGTAGGGAATCTTACTCCTACATGGAGTTCCAAAGACGATTGTCTCGGACCGCGACGTCAAGTTCTTGAGTTACTTTTGGAAGACCTTATGCGCCAAGCTTGGAATCAAGCTCTTGTTCTCTTCGGCATACCATCCCCGAACCGATGGCCAAACGGAGGTGACAAACCGAACGCTCTCCGCCCTACTACACGTATTGATCAAGAGGAACATCAAGGAGTGGAAGGAGTACCTACCCATCGCCGAGTATGCCTTCAATCACGCAAGACATTCGACTACCGGCAAGTCCCCCTTCGAGGTCGTCTATGATTTCAACCCATTGTCCCCATTGGACATTCTTCCTCTACCACTTCAAGAGCGCATCAACATGGACGCGAGTGCACGAGTGAACTATCTCAAGAAGATGCATGAAGATACGAGGCACACCATCGAGCGCCAATTACAACAACTCGCGACCAAGCTCAACTTCAACAAGCAACCCATGGTATTCAACATTGGTTATCTCGTGTGGCTACACCTTCGCAAGGACCGCTTCCCCAACGAACGCATGTCCAAACTTCTATCACGAGCCGATGGACCCTTCAAGGTGCTAGCACGCTACAACAACAACAACGCTTACAAGATCAACCTCCCACGCGACAAGTCCAACGTGAGCGATGTCTTCAATGTCAAGGATCTCTCGCCCTACCATGGTGATGAAGATTTCGATCTGAGGTCGGATCTTTCCCAAGGAGGGGAGATGATGCAGAGCATCAAACGGTTTTCCCCATGGACGTATCGACATCTCCCACGACACCACTTGGACGAGAGCTCGAGCAAAGGCCATCGAAGATAAGGTGAACTCGCTCCTCTCCGAACTACCACTTTCTACACATCCGACATGGCTACTACCTCAAGCGGAAACACTATGTGTGATCAGGTACTTGGAGGAAGGCCACGGAGCAGCTACATCCAACGGACAAGACATCGAGGACACCAAGTATGAGGGACAAGAAGAAGAGTTGCAAGTAGAGCTACGGACCAGACGTCCGGGCTAGCCTAAAGGCCGCGCCAGCCAGAAGAAGACATGCGAGTGAGTGCTACAGCGCCCGGACGTCCGCCCAGGACCGGACAACCGACAACTCCCAGCGACCGGATGTCCGGGCTCCACCGAAAATCCGGCAGGTCCCCAACCGAATGAAATCAGTGGAAGTCCGAAGCGACCGACGACTGGACGACCGGCCGTCTTCGAAAATCCGATGCCACTTCAACCGAGCCAAAACGACGGAAGTTCGGCGACTTCCGGACGTCCGCGAGCCACCGGACAATCAGAACCCACCGCACGTCTGGTACCTATTTGTGCACAGTTTCGGGCCCGAGGCC